CCAGAATACTGAATGTGTTATGTAGATAGAAAGGGACTCCCACTCTCCTAGGAACAAAGACAAGTGCCCCACCGTGATGCTGTCTCAAGCAATTGCCACACCTGGGGAAAAAGGACAAGGACAGGTGCCCTGCCAATTGCAAATGCATACAGGGAATTCCGCAGCCCAGGCACAATAGGATCTGGAAAGTGACCTCAAGTAACCTAAGGCTAATTATCATGTTAACTGTCCATCAAAGTGGTTCATTGGTGATGTGTGAACCACTAGGAGAGCCCAATCCACACAGTATAATACAAGACCCCAGACCATAACCAGAGCCTCTTGTTATGACAGGGGTCCCATTTGTCATCTGTGATGAATGTATATTGCTCTTGCTCTATAAACCTATCTTGCTCTTCCTCAATACTTCATTTAGTGCTGGTCTTGCCATAGATGTGTCTGGTCTCTGTTCTGCCAAGAGCACACCAAGAACCAAGATCAGACTGCCAACCCAACGAATGTCTTGGCCAAGGGGATACCCTAAATCTGAGTTCCTAGCCATGAGAAGGAAGGTCAGACATATCTCATCATGTCCCTCTCCCTTCTTGGAGCTATCCTTTGTAAATCATTAACAGTCCTAAGGCTAGGCAAGACAAATCTGCAGGTCCTCAATTTATATAACAAATCACTTGAGTCTGGGTATATGTCCAAGTGCTTGTCTCTGATTAAGACTTCCTTAACTTAAAGAATTGGAAGCCTTTAGACAAAGATTCATTTTTTTTTAATTTTTTTTCTCTTTTATTAGACAGAGTCTTGCTCTTGCTCAGGCTAGTCTCAAACTCCTGACCTCAAACAATCCTCCCACCTTGGCCTCCCACAGTGCTAGGATTACAGGCATGAGTCACTGTGCCCAGCCAAAGCTTCATTTCTTTAACCAATTACAAATCAAAGTCTTTAAACCTACCTATAACCTATAAGCCCCTGCTTTGAGATGTCCCACCCTTTTCAGGCCAAACCAACGTATACTTTCCATGTATTGATTTACAGATTTGCGACTTTACGTATAATTCCTGTATCCCTGAAATGTATAAAACCAAACTGCAACCCAACCACAATGAGTCCACTTGCTCAAGGCTTCTTGTGCATGGCTCTAGGCCATGGTCTTCAATTTTGGCTCAGATAAACCTCTTCAAATTATTTTATAGAGTTTGGCTTCTTTTCCATTTACAGACACATACTTTGTTGGACATGGCTGGCTGTTGCTGATAGTAGATACTAGAATATGCTTTCTTCACTAAGCCCTGATTATAGCTGACAGCTAGAATCAGAATCAGAATCAACATAGAATCAGGAAAAAACTAAAGAGGCTTTCTCCTTTCTTATAAAAGCCTTGTCCAGACCCCTGGTACTCTCTCTGAATACAAAAACCCTTTACTCTTCTGTGATAAAAATAAGAAACTACTCTCAAAGAGCTAACAGACTTGTGTAGATAAAAAGTACCCTGGGGATTTTGGTTTTCTGCTAAAGTAGCAGCCAGATGTCCTCCAGGTCGGCATTCAGTGGAGGTGCCTGCTGCTCCACTTTACTCTTTTGCTACCCCTATACACCACTGCAGCACTCCTAAAGCCCAAAACACATCTCTCTGAGACTAACACAGAATAAAAGTTTACTCTCCTCTGCTGGTCATAATAATGTCAACCCAATAACAACTGGTAGAGAACCCTATCATTGTTTTTGACAGTTACAGCACCTCGACACAACCATAAATTGACTTCAAGACACTCCACTTCTTCCAATCCTGGTTTCATCTTTAATGCAGATAAGACCCAGTTAGACTCTCAGGAAAGGTAGGTTCTGAGTTAACTATCTACTCCTAACAAAAGAGACTAAAAAGTTCCCTTTTCATTCTTTACATTCTAACCAGGCGACTATATATGTTACCTTGACTATAACATGTTGTTTTGCATTTCATATATCTGCCAAAATTTACTCTGATTCTTTTTATGCCTCTGGAGCTGGCTATGCCTTTGGAGTTGTTCATAATCATAGAGAGTAGTAGAAATAACAGAAGTCTCTTAACCACAGCTGAGTAAAATATCTAATAGTCCTGGTATAGAACATTTTATTCAGCAAAATCTCAGATGTTATACATGGAAAGTTCTGGTTGATGTTGCAGTTCAAGGCAGAGATCATATCCTTTTCCCTGGCCTTAGTGCCATTTTTGCTCCCACTCAACAAATAGTTTCCTTTGGCAAAGATGTTTTATTTTAAGGATAGGATCGAAATTCAAAGATGCTGTCTTGAACACAACAGGGTAACTAACCTGAACATCCAGATAACCTCTGAACCTCATTGTCTCTGCTTACTTTTATTGTCACCCAAATACATTCCCCCTCTCCATGTACATAGGACCTGTGACAAGGTACAGGGCTTCAGCTATAGATAATAAGAATAGTCAGAAATGATTGGTACACCTTAAATTTTGTCAATGAGGTCTAACAATACTGTTTCATTTGCTGTTTGTCAAGTCACAGTGTGAACAAATCAGTCAAAATCACTCTAATCTATTAGGCCATTTCAAATTTTATCCAAATGAAGCAATGTTCCACATGTTAGTATCTTTTTATGTTTTTAGAATGAGTAGAAACATATTTCAGCTTTTAACTAAAACAACAAGATCCCCAGATTTAGGACATTCATAGATTTAAGATATCCTTGCTGATAAAAAGAAGACATATTATACAAGTCAGATTTAAAGGAAGTCTGTTAACACTTATGCATTCCAACTATGGTATCATTGTCCACATGATCCAGAACCAGCTGTAACAGTGGAACATTGAAATGAAATACTGTAAAAAATAGGTCCATGACCTTCGTGAGTATGAGAAGCACAGCTAATAAAAAACCTACTACACCTATTCCCCTGAGCAGCCAAGGTTAGCTTAAAAAAACAGAAATCAAGATAATGTGATTTCTGTTCACACTTAGAATAAACTCCAAATTCACAAAGCCTTATAGGCCTACTTGCTTCTCTGACTCCATCTTATAGCAGGTCTTCCTTCTTTTCTATTCATTAGGCTATAATGCCATAAAGCAATGTGCCCTTTAGGAAGACACAAGTCAGATGACTCAAAAAGCAAAGTCTATGCACACTATGACTAAACTAATCCTCTTAATACTATCAGGGAAGAAATAGCAGGATTTGTAAGGAAAACAAGTCTCACACACAAATCCCCAACTTTGTTATTTCACAAATAAAAATCCATTCCAGAAAGAGTCAAGTATGTATCAATGGGATCTTCAAGATGTGGGCATCTGGGTCTGCAAATAAATACCATAACTCAGCACCAGCACTATTTTATATATTTAATAATTATTGTCACACTGGAACCTCCTCTGAAATTACAAATGCATATGTCTACTTTAACATGCAATGCCTGTGAGGCTTAATCTGGAAAAGCTCAAAGTTACTTGGAAGTTTGTTAGATTATTCACAATAGTCACTTACCTTTCAACCCCTTTTTTTTTTTGGGGGGCCAACCCCTAAACTCCTGGACTCGGGCAATCCTGCTGTTTCAGCCTTCCTAGTAGTTGTGACTACAGGTGGGCACCATCACTCCTGGTAATTTTCTATTTTTATTAGAGAAAGAGTCTTGCCCTTGCTCAGGGTGTCTCGAACCCTTAACACAGCAATCCTTCTGCCTCCTCGGCTCCAGAGTGCTAGGATTACAGGCTTGAGCCATTG